GCCGCAACTACACTTTTGTCACTCTCCTTCAGGCGGTGCGCGTTGATTACACAATAACAAATAATAAAATCGCTGAGTCAGCCACTGTTATGTCATCTCACAATTTTGTGATAGAATACTTCTTGTTTTTTATTTTATTCAAGTGTCGCCATCAATAATTTTAAATTCTAGATGGCCATGGATAGCTTTTCCGAGTTGGAATTTAATAGGAAGAGAAATCAGAGGGAGGGAACCTGGTGAATAGTCATATAGAGACAATAACCTTAGTACTGACACCAGACTCTCACAATGTGCATAACAGTAACAAAATTCTGTATTTTAGTCACAAGTAAGCTTTGTCAGAGTAATAATCTTATCATTCATTCATTCAAATATGTACTAAAGTTAATTTGTATAATTGATAACTCGTGTTACAAGTCAGATAGGAGTGTAGCAGGTCACTATGACAGTGTGGTCAGAACGTTTCGTGAGGTGGCGAGCCGTTTAATGGATAACAATCGATGAGTGAGAAGATTCATAAATCTCTCACAGAAAAAGCTCCATAACAGACACTTAGAAGATTTTCGTCGACCTGTAGCTCAGTTGGAAGAGCGAGGGCGCGGCATTCCCATGGCCGCAGGTTCGAGTCCTGTCGGGTGGAAGGGATTTTCTTTGCGGTCGCAAAGAGCCGCCCGGAGTGCAGTACAGTGGGTGACGGCGCGCCCGCAGGTGGCTGAACCGCAGCGCCGAGGTGGGCGGCGCGGGCGCGCGCGCGGGCCGCGGCCACGTGCTGGGCGCGGCGCAGTCCTACCGCGCCTTCCTGCGCAGCGAGGGCGGGCTGCTGCCCGAGCTGCAGGAGTGCCGCTCCGACTCCACCAGGGTGCACCTCATCTGCCACAACTACGGTCAGTCCCCAGTACCTCCGCTACATTTAAACACTTGTGCGCCAAATAACAAAATACCCTTAAGATTCGTCTCAATTGTTATCCCGAACTTTTGCGACGGCGCATTATTTATGTAGGTATCTATGTAAAAGTTTGGAGTTAAACGAACTAGCGAATATTTTAAATTCCATTAATTGTTTGAGTGCTCTCATTTATATTAACGAACTCGAGGAGCGCCGCGGGGCCAATAGGGCTGCTAATTCATTGTTATTACTTAACGAAGTTGCCGAGATACTTACGTATGTGTAAAGTTTGAGCATTTTATAACGTTTATTACGTTAAAGACATGAAGCCCGAATGCCGGTTTGTTCGACTGATTTAATGGCTTTAATTACTATAAAGAGCTGTAATGAGTAATCGGTTAAAAAACAAGAGTTTTGCCGCGTGGTAGCACGACGCGATGTCGTATCGTGTTTATATGTAAGAGCCCTTAACTACTGTTTATTGCGGTTATGAGCTACCGTGCGTAACCGTTGTCACGTCGTTTGTACTGCAAAAATGCACACCGCTAAATACGTTTATCGAATACTGCAAAAAACGTGCTATGCAATGTCGTGTGAATGGGAGCTTAGTTAATAATAATAAATAACGCACACACTCAACATAGCCGCGCACTAGGGAAACCCTGAGTCGCAGGTGCCATGGAGACACACATAGACGATCACAAATTACACCCAAACTTCGAGATAAATAAATGTAGGCCATTGAAATATTTCTCCCGGCCCGGGAATCGAACCTGGGACCTCTGCGTGACAGTCCGGCATGGTAACCGTTCGGCCACTGAGGTAGTTAGTTGTTAAGGAGTTGGGTAGTCTGCAAATTGTATTTGTTGCAATATCAGATCAAAGTTACCACATTTAACGTTATTGTTCAATTTTTTCAAAGAATATTTATTTGTCGGAGTAAAGTAAAGGGAGAAGTTGAGGGAAACTCTCTCGTCACTGACTTTGTTAGGAATTACTTGACAATTGGCCTATTCATTTTTCGTTATCAATCCATTAAGTCGGCGGTGAAATAATAACGTCAGTTGAATACACTTAATTCGTTGATCCACTTTTCACAATAATAAGGTCGAAACCACAAAATATGAATTAGGTTAAAACAACTTATAAAAGTCACGCGGTCAATTCACAGAGACCGTCCGTCATCATTTACTTTCCAAGTATAAACGTTCGTTTAAAAAGCATTGACTATCAACTTCAATCCTTATTTTCAAGTGGCAACCCAGCCAACAACCATCACATCATAGGATCACGTCAGGCAAGTAATTAAACCTTAGACTATGGAAACCAAAGGACATTATTATGTTGACATATATAAATCAGACGTTATATGTTATGTATATGATGCATTTCGACGGTGAAAACATAAACATGTCATTGTCTTTGTTTAACTATTGCGTGCCGTCTTAAGCCAAAAGAGATAGCATTACATTTGTCTGTGTCAAACACGGGAATCGCAAATACGTAACATCATCTTAAATGTCAACTGTGTCCATTTCGCAGTACATGAGGTACATGATACGGTTGTCAAAAGGAAGTACATCAAATGTCAAAACAAATGTTTTTCCAAGTGTTTTATTGAATTATTCGCATGAATTCTATCTTATCTAATAAAATGGACAAAAATGTTGACAGTGAGAACAATTAAGTATTAATAAAAATTCGTCGGTGCAGCATTACGGGACATGGCTTTAGAAAAATCGAAAATCGACCGATTGTAACATTGTACGTGCTTTTTTCTGTCTATAAATCACACAAAAGACCAAATATATCTTGTAATTAGACATATTTAAGTAAGTAAGTTTATTCATAAATCTTGCCAAATTGTGCTTTGGATTCTTCAGATTGCAAGTTGGTTTGTATATTTTGATTATTGTTGTTAACGATTATTTTGAGATAATGTTGTTCTTGGAACCGTACATATTATCGATATTCTGTTATTAAAATAATTCACTACGAGGTTTTTATTATTATTATTATACTATTTCGATTTTGCCTACAAATGAAAAAAGAATGTTTGGAAATCACCGCCGCCGAATATAAACATTGGATCCAAGACCATCTTCATTTATTCGTTTCGTTTTGAAGAGTCACATTTTAACAGAACTTTGAATGTAACTAGATTACATGATAATGCAATTCCATCATTTGATAATTAATTTAATATTTTATTTAGATTCAACAAGACTCATTTACTAGGTATTCTCAGTTCATGAAAACAAAATAATCCACTTGTTTCCGATTTTTTCCCCCTGACAAACTCAAATACTAAAAATTACTATTTTAACAGTTTCAACATTCAAGCCATACATTTGCAAGTCGATAATGACTTATCGATAGATTATGGTACAACACCAAAGAAATCCGCCATTTGTAGCGTTCAGTAGGGCAGCTCCTTTCATTTATTTTTTTTCCATCCTCTAAGAATTAAATTGAAGAAACTCAAGCTACATCAGCGCTATTATCTCTGTGACCCTAAAAGGG